ATGGTTTAACCCTAATAGCTACCATATAAAAGAATCCCATGGCTCAACAAATCGTGCACTAGTGTGTGAATATGAGGGCTAGACGATTTCAAGGAGTGGTACATTTCTCTCAAGTCATTTCCATGTGCATTTGGTGTTGTGTGAACCATTTGAGGTGTCACACTTGGGGCACTAGGCACTCAAAGCTTCATGAAGACATTCTACATCAAAGAGGTATGTAATTCTACCTTGATATATTCATATGAATCAATGTTATTATGTTAGTTAGGATGAATACCTTGGAAAGTTCATATTTGCATGTATAATAGAGAAAACATAGATCCAAGGTATTTAGGGTTGCATGTACACTTAGGAGTGTTAGAATGCTCATAACCCAACACCTAGATCCTTAGCCCGAATCTAGCATGCAGTTCTCATAATCGTATCATATCATAACATAGAATGTATGTGTATCTTGGGGAAAACTTACTTGAACTCGGTCGGTTGCATGCATCACACACCTTGTTCTTTCTCAAAACTTGTTACTTTAACTTTTGAAAATACTATTTTCTTGTGAAAATCTTTCAAACCCCATATTTGATTCCAGACACACCCGAGAGTGTGTTCGAATCCCTCAAGCCAGGGCTCTGATACCAACTTGTAACATCTCAAAAATACGGACAAAAAATTTTATTTTTTTATGTTAAGCAAATATAAAACCATTTGACTGAAAAACCACATACCAATAATATAGATGTCAAAACAATTTTACCATAGTCAAAACATGTCATAACAAAACCATATCAGAGTATAAATCCCATAGATCTCTGGTGCGGAAAATCATGTATGTGATGCACTGCTACCGAGCCAACTCCTTTCCTTTTGAGGAAGAAGTATCTGAAACCAAAACAAAAACCGTAAGCATAAAGCTTAGTGAGCTCCCCCATCATACCACATACCATAATAGGAACATAACATATACTTCCAGGCATATCTGGGTGCCCGACCTACCCTGCTGAGCATACCGTGGTGCTCAACCTACCCCTGATAGGCGTACCGGGGTGCCTAACCTACCCCTGTCGGACATACCGGGGTGTCCGACCTGCCCCTCCTGTTTATCTAAACCGCATTACGAGGACTATTTCACTCCCTACTACTACCACATAAAAACATAACATAATCATACTGTCAGGCGTACCGGGGTGCCGACCTACCCCTTGGCCTTATTGACCATATATGGAGACTATTCCCCTTACTGCCACTATCACATAACATCATATCATACTAGCACATAAAACATAACAGATAGTGGCATACCAAACAATTATCACAAAGACAGTCATCTTAACTATACTCAACTACAGGTTGGCCGACATTGGTGACTTCGACCCACTTTTATTGGAAGGTAACTCACCTCAATGTCATGTAGTATCTGAACTGTCCTAGGTGCTAGGATCAACTCCTCTCAAACTCCTCAAACTCCTACACATAACAACCTTCCTTCATTACCATTTCATACTCATAGCCCTTTCAAGGGTCAACTCAGGTCATAGTTAAAGTCAAGGTCAAAGTCAACTTTTTGTCAAAGTCAACATCTGGTTGACTCTACTCGCCGAGTTGGTCCACCAATTCGTTGGGTTCCATAATCCACTAAATACTAGAACTTTGATCCTACTCGTCGAGTTCTCCTTCATATAGAATCAGGACCTTGCTCATGACTCGTCGAGTTCATCCTTGAACTCATCGAGTCCTTCTTCATATCAGTTGGTACGTTTAGCCATTGACTCGCCGAGTTCTTCCTTGAACCCGTCGAGTTCATCTTTATATATCAGTCGGGACATTTTCCTTGAACTTGCTGAGTTCATCCTTGAACTCGTCGAGTTCTTATTGATTTTTAAGTCCCTACTCACGTCCATCTTGTTGAGTCCTCTTCTAAACATAACCAGATTGCTCAGAAACAGAAAAGGTTGGGGAACGATGACCCGACTCGCAAGTCCTAAGAACAACTCGTCGAGTCCCCTAAAGTCCATGCCCATACAGTCGATTTCAGTTGAGCTTAATGCATCCAAAACATAGATCTGACCTCCTAGGATCGATATAGCACGTAAAGTTATAAACTTTACATGCATGAATGGGTTAACTAGTCCTTAAAGTCCTAAAAAGTATGCCATAAAGTTGGCACCTTTATGCCATGGAGTCCCTCTAAGACTCTGGATCCGAAGTCCTAACACCAAAAAAAGCTTGCATCCATGAATGGTTGCATAATGAGCTCCAAATGGTCCTAAACTACCCCATGGAGAGGTCTAATGAATGAATGAACAAGGTACATACTTTATACGTCAAATGAGCTGGGAATGCAACCAAAACTCTGGATCTACTTACTTCCTATTGAACCTCCAAGCCTTTCCTTCCTTCTCCAAGCTTCAAATCACTAAAATGACACAAAATAGCTCAAGAACACTCACAAACTGATTAGGGTTTCGAGAATAGGGTCTGAGGGTGATGGAGGCTGGAGTGGAGGCCATATACGTTGTTTAAATAGGGTGCAAACCCTAAAATTTAGGGTTTCATTCAGACAGCTCTACTCGTCGAGTCAGGGCTTCCAACTCGTCGAGTAGACTCTTCCACCCACGTTGAAGATTCGCCCCTACTCGACGAGTTTGGGGCCTCAACTCCTCGAGTCCCAGTATAATAATGCAAAAACTCATGTTTAAAATACGTACCAGGAACCGGGCGTTACACACACACACAAACACACACGCACACACACACACACACACATATATATATATATATATATATATATATATATAGATATATATATATATATATATATATATAATATATATATATATATATATATATATATATATATATATATATATATATGTGTGTGTGTGTTGTGTGTGTGTGCGTGTGGTGTTGTGTGTGTGTAAAGGATATATATCTATATATATATATATATATATATAGATATATATATATATATATATATAATGATCAATAAATGCATGTTGATTTGGTAATTTTGGTTTGTGATGATTATTTTTTAAAAACTTTGGTAACTGTATTGGTACTTTGTAATTTGATAATTTGATAGTTTGGTAGTTTGGTTTATCGTCATAGTTTGCTATGTATGTTTATGTTGATAGCTTGATAAATTGGTAACTGTTAGTTTGTGGTATGTGAGTTTGATTGCTGGTTTAACTTAGAAGGTAATTAAATAGTTTGTTAGTTTGGTAATTGGTAATTTGATAGTTTGCTAGTTTGTTAGTTTGGTAATTAGTAATTGGTTTATGTTGGTAATTTGTAGTTTACTTATATTTTGGTAACTGGTAATTTGTTAGTTTGGTTTATATTGTTTAACTTATAAGTTCATATGATGTTATTTATTATGTAGTTGGAGAATCTTCGATCAATGCTCAATAATCAAGTGTGTACCGTAGAACTTCTAACATGGTTTGTGGCGAATAAACCACCGTGTGATTCCGGAGAAAATGAGGGAATCAAGATGATGACACGTTGGACTAGTTTGTGTTTTGTTAGACTTGTTATGACATAACTTTATAACACTTTTGTTATTTATTTTTGTATATGTATGGAATTATAAAACCTTTGGTATTTAATTGGATTTATGCGTTAAATGTTTTCGTGTAAACCACATTTTAATATTTTTGTGTTTTTTGCATTTAATATCGTTATCTATAAAAGGGTTGATTTAAAAAATATGAACATTAGCGGCGATAATTTTACCGACAACAAGGGTATTAGCAGCGACTATGAGTATTACTGGTGACATTAGTCTTAGCAGCAAAAAATGTCTTTAGTAGTGATTTTTTTGAGAAATAGTGACGGGGCAGAGTAGCGGCGACGCATTAACGCAAATTTTTAGAAGTTTTAGCAGCGAACTTTGTTGCTACTAATAATTGTTTTTCTTGTAGTGTTACTGAAAAAAAATATGAGACGAATGATTTTTGTCCATCATCTTTCCTTTTGTAACAATTATAGTTGTTACATACTTAAAAAATTAATTCTTGAACATATTAAATTTTCAAAACAAAATGTGCTAAATTTAAATGCGTGCCCACAGGTACCCATGGACTAGAGACATCTTTGGAAGGTAAATTGAGTATCAAGTGTATTATAACCATGGACTAGAGACATTTTTGAAAGGTAAATTGAGTATCAGGTATATTATGCATCAATTAAATGTGTTTTTTTGGGTAACCATGTCTATAGATAATATTTGGTCATTTACTTACATTATCTATGCAGTATATGGTTGCAGTTTAGATTCTTCTTCAGTTGCTTGATCCCACAAATCTCATAGATAATTCAGTAACTCGAACTCTAAAGGTGAGCTTTCAAACAAGCTATCCACATAACTAATTGGTAAACATTTTTTAAGTTTACCATGTTTTGGTAAAAAAAATCTCAAAAGGAGATTGAGTAAATCATGATATAACTCATTATGGTAAAATTTGGACATGCAGAGACAATCACAAACCTATAAACAAACAATCAAGTCGTTGAGACTAAAGTGAATTATGAGGCTTTAGACTATATTTGGCGTACTAGCCGAAAAACTAATTATTAGCTGAAAAACTAGCTGATACCTGAGGAGCTAGCTGCTAGCTTATAAACTAACCAATAAAAATAACATTTGGTGAAAACTAGCTGATAAGCTAGCTAAAAGATATTAAATGACATAAAAGACCATTTAGGAAAATATGATGTTTATAATTTATTAAGGGTATATTTGATTTTTTTAAAAAAACTCTTGAAAAGCTAGTCCAAGTAGCTTTGTTAAGGTACATTTTAGCTTGTCAAACATGACAACATAAAAAAACTCGAAAAATAAACTAGTTGTGGCGCGCCAAATATAGTCTTAGTTATGTGATTAGGGGAAATTGGAAACGAGGAGGGGGGGATAGATATGGAAATGTCATAATTGGCAACTACGAACATGCCTATAGTCGGGAGATCTATGGGTATATATGGGTTTGCTAGATGTTGTTGCCCTAAGCTCTCCATAAAATTTTGATACAAGACTTTGAATCATGTTTAATCTTAAATGATGGTTCTATAAAATCGCGTTCCTCATCCCAAAATTCTGAAGAATCTGTTGCGACTTTCGGTGTTTGCACCAGATCATCTTTATTTCTCCTAGGAACGAGCTCGGCTGCAAATGAAGTCCAATACGTATCGTGTATGTAAAATGAAATAATATTGTATGATGAATTCAACGGTGTTGTGTGCCGCAATAAACTAAAGGAAACATATCCCACGTGTGTCTTTGGTTCTCCATTATATTCAGGTTCCGGTGCTGTGTTAGACTCCTGCCAAACCTCAAATCCAGAATCTTCTTCATCTACGCCTTTTTGCTTGATGATTATATCAATATGCGGACGTCCGAAATTAGTAACAATGCATATTAAGAACCCACAAAAGTCATTGTACCAATCATCTGGAAGACGCAGTGTAAACGTGTCGCTATCTGGTCGAACAGACACTCCATATGCCTCCTCCGTAACATGTGGAAAACGCATTGTAAATATGTTCCTCGTAAAGAACCTACCCTCAAATCCCTTTGGAATCTGATGTTCAAGTGTGACACTGATAAAGTAATCGTCAATAGCATTTCCCTGCCATGGGAATGACATTAGAAATTTTTTATTTATGGGTATGTGTGTGTGTGTATATATATATATATATATATATATATATATATATATATATATTGTTAGGAACCGGACCGGGTACACGCATCGGAAACACACTATCACACACACACAAACTCACGAAAATAAAGCAAGAAGAACACAAGGATTTTACGTGGTTCGGATTCGGTGCAAATCCTACGTCCACGGGCTGCAACTAGAGAATTTTATTAAAACTCACAAGATTACAATTGGCTTGACACTCTACACTTGATGTTCTCTCAAGTTTTTGCACACCAAATATGCAAAACATACATGCATATATATAGGTGAATGTTTGCCATGTGAAAACAGAAAGAGTTGTAACCAATTTAAAGTCTACCAACTTCAAGTTTGAACATGTTGAATGCACCACTTATTTTCCAACTTTCAGTTTGAATTTGATTCTTTTATTTCACATGCATAGCCACATGTTTTCAACCTTTCATATTTTACCTAACAATCTCCCACTTGAAAGTTTGAACAACATGGTCCGTCTCTGTCATCCAACTCTAGTAATCTTAAAACAACCAAGTCTTCCAAGCCTCCAGTTCCTAAGAACAAGCTAAACTTAGTCCCATTTCTCTAATTGCAGCCGCCCCTCATCTTCAAGTACTAGAAGGGCCAGTTGAAGCTCCCACTAGCTCCAACTCAGTCGTGGCTAATCCCACCACCGACTCATCCTCTGTCTCAACCGGTTTGGACACTCCACCAGATCCAGAGATACACCGAGGACCACTAACACTCTCCAAACTTTGCAAACTTCCAACAAGAGAGAATTTTCCAGTCTTAGTCTTCAAAACCCAACGACTCTTTGTAACTATACCCGGAACACACCCCGTGCTCCCACTGTCACAGAATCCCCTGAATGGTTTAGAATTTCCGACTCGTTCAGCTAACATCCCCTTGGCTCCAGAATTCATGTTTGCAAAATGAACTCTCTTAGCAGTAGATTTAGCGAACCAGATTTTGTTTTGCTTAATCGGGATGGTCATACTTCCCTCAGCAGGTACCTCAACCATATACAATGACCCACGCTTCATACCTTGAGCAATCACCGAATTACCATTGACCACCATCCATTTACCACCACCAAACCTTACTTCCAGTCCTTGTTTATCCAGCTGACCAACAGAAATCAATTTTTTCTTCAGCTCCGGAATAACCCTGACATTCTTCAGGCTCCATGTAGTTCCCAATGAAGTAACTAGATCAATATCTCCTATGCCCGTTACTTGAAGCATCTCGTCATTTGCTAACCGTACCTTTGCAAAATCTCCTTTTTTTTAGATTCATCATCGTTTCCCCGTTGTCCATGGCGTGAAACGAAGCCCCTGAATCCATAACCCAAGAGTCCACAGAACTTTCCATATCGAGTATCAGTGCATCATCCTCAGACACACTCTCAGCACCAGCAATGTTTAATTCTTTCTTTGGACATTGACTCTTAACATGTCCCACCTCTTGGCAGTTCCAGCATTTCACATTCTTCAAAGTTCTAGAAGAACTTTTTCCCCGACTTCCACTGCTCCTGCTATTCCCTCTACCTCTTCCGACATTTAATAAATCAGAAGAAGAAGATGCACCTTGATTCTTGCGTCTGATATCTTCGCCAAGAACCAAATCTCTAACCCCTTCAAAAGTCATACCACTGGTCCCCACGGAACTCGTAACAGCAGTAACTGTTCCGGACCAGCTATCAGGTAGAGAAGCTAGTAGCAGTGATGCTTGAGTCTCGTTATCAAATTTAATTCCCACAGATGATAATCTGGACAGAATTGAATTTAGATTGTTAATGTGAACCGTAACTGAGCCTTCCTCATTCATCCTTGTAGTGAACAACTCCTTCATCAAGAACACCTTGTTAGCCGCCGATGGTTTCTCATACATATTTGATAGAGCCTCCATCATACCACGCGCCGTGGTTTCATTCATGATGTTGAAAGCAACGCTCTTCGTCAATGACAATGTAATAACCGCCTTGGCTTTCTTGTCCTTTGAGTTCCACGCATCTTCAAAAGCTTTTTCCATTTTCTCTGGTTTGTCTCCGAGTACCATGTCCAAGTCTTTCTGACATAGCAATGCTTCTAATTGCATTTTCCACCAGCTAAAATCAGAACCGTTGAACTTTTCGATTACAACCTTGTCTTCAGCCATTACGACAAACAAGATACAAATCAGGTACACTCGTGCGTGATAAAAAAAATGATTGTACCCTCCAAACCTCGCTAATCTGGCTCTGATACCAGTTGTTAGGAACCGGACCGGGTACACGCAGCGGAAACACACTATCACACACACACAAACTCACGAAAATAAAGCAAGAAGAACACAAGGATTTTACGTGGTTCGGATTCGGTGCAAATCCTACGTCCACGGGCTGCAACTAGAGAATTTTATTAAAACTCACAAGATTACAATTGGCTTGACACTCTACACTTGATGTTCTCTCAAGTTTTGCACACCAAATATGCAAAACATACATGCATATATATAGGTGAATGTTTGCCATGTGAAAAACAGAAAGAGTTGTAACCAATTTAAAGTCTACCAACTTCAAGTTTGAACATGTTGAATGCACCACTTATTTTCCAACTTTCAGTTTGAATTTGATTCTTTTATTTCACATGCATAGCCACATGTTTTCAACCTTTCATATTTTACCTAACATATATATATATATATATATATATATATATATATATATATATATATATATATATATATATAAAGATTAAAAATTTAAAAGCTAAACCTTGAGCATGGAGTCTAGTAATATGTAACCATCAAGCGGATCTACTTTGTCACACCTATGAAGCGAGAGTTTCCACAACCATTTGCAGTTTGATATATCTCCAATTCTTTCCAGTGACCCACATAAATCTGCCTGAACAACAGCTACACTTGATGGAAGCTCTGACAATTCTACAAGGCCTTGGCAGTTTGTTACGTTGAAATATTTGAGGCGAGGAAGCCGCAAGAGACCAAAACTCAATCTTGAAAACTCATTTCCTTCTAGATTTAGTTCTTGCAAGTTGGGCAACTCCAAAATATCAGAGCCTATGTCTTCATGTCCTAAATTGCACCAGCTGAGATCCAACTTTCTTAAGCTGAGTTCTTGCATGTTGTGAAAAAACCATTTTTGTACTTGATTCTTGTTGTTGTAAGGTAAAAAAGACTCGTCTAAACAACATTCTTTCCCACTAATATCCAAATGAAGAGGTGTTAAATTTTCTATATTCTGTTGAATCTTTGAGAGGTTAAAAAGTTGGTGGCACGTTGAGAATGAAAGGGTCTCGAGTTTCTTTAGTTGTGTAATGGGTGAAAACATATGAAGCTGGTAACAATGTTCAATTGATACGAAAACAAGCCTTTCCAAGCGTCCAATTGATGGATGAATCTCTTCTAAACAAGAACAATGATAAAGCTTGAATCTTTCAAGATGTGGAAGTCCAGCAAAATCTGGTGTCTTGATTAGGTTATGCAAACTATGAAGTTCCATGATCTTCAAATTTGGCAGCAACTGTTGTATACAAGTGCAAACAAGTAAAAGATGTATCAAGATGATTAGATTTTAAGAAAACTGGCACGGGCACACAGGCAGACACACACACAAATGGGGATGTCTCATTTATACATTATTTTTATATGGGATGATAATATGACAAAAAAAAAACAATTCCTTCCCCCACGACAAATGCAAATCATTTGAAGTGTTTGATTGTTTAATTAAATATCTACATCCAGTAGTACACAAGTCTATTAATAGTGCTCTTTCAAAAAAAAAGTCTATTAATAGTGAGAGCGGTTTTTTATTTGTTGATGTGGTCCCTTCAAAAAACCGTCTTATTAAATATCTACAGCATCAAAAAATAAAATAATCGCACAATAAAATAGTTTGTTAGTGCGGTTTCCCAAAATCGCACAATTAAAGCATTTTCTGATGCGGTTTCTTGAAATCGCACCAAAAAATCATGTGGACACCGCCCCAAAAAATAATTACAGTCGCACCAAAAATAATTTGCACTAAAAAACATTGAACCGCAACATTAACCTTTCCTCTAAAAATTTCATTCAAATTTTTCATTTCGCGCTAGATTTCTCCAAATTTCGTTTAAAATTTTACTTTTTTTCAAAATTTTCATTCAGTCTTCCCTCTTTTATACAGCGTTGGAGATTTAGCATCTTCTCATAATTATAGATTTGTCGATTCCATGCTTGAAAATGCATGTGAGGTATGTCCATTATTTATCTTTTTTTTCATTAATGGCATTTATTACTACATTTTTCTCTTCTTAACTGTAAACGAATATCCTATTTTAAGTTTTAACGATGTTTCCTTGTTCTGAATCTCTACAGATGTCTCTTCTTCCATGATATATCTCCAAAAAAGGATCTAAAGACTTATGATGTTTGCTTCAGTGACTTTCAACCAATGGACATGGAGCTAGTTTTTGCAGAGTGAGTTTTAATTGTTGAAAAAGAAATTGAAAACAACATTGATGAAATGTGATTTCTAAAGAATAGATTTTTAATTCGTAGAGAAAAAGAAATTGTATAGATTGAAACCACTCTTCTTGAAGAAAAAGAAATTATGATTAAACCTTTGATTGAAAAACACTCACCGAACATACCTAAATACAAGAAAATGAAGCTTCGTAAGTAGCCTGTTGTGCATCAATGGCAAACCTATTCATGGGTGCGGTTTTAACTAGCTATTTTTTGAGGTGGTTTTGGCTATTTTTTGGTGCGATTTTGGCTATTTTTTAAGGAGGTTTTGGTTATTTTTTGGTGCGATCTTGGTTATTTTTTGAGACAGTTTTGAATATTTTTTGGTGCGATTTTGGCTATTTTTTGGTGTGGTTTTGGCTATTTTTTGGTGCAGTTTTAGAATCGCACCATTAAATAAGGGTATTTTTTGATGCGATATTTTTTGGTACGGTTCAATACCCGATCAATTAATCATTTTAACCGCGTCAACAAATGTTTTCTGTACTAGTGGATCACTTGATAAAAACAAAATAAGATTTTGAACCCATGATGATATCAAGGTTTTATAATCGTTTTTAATAAAAAAAAGAAATAGATCGAAACCTCACCTAAATATTAATATAATAGTTGTTTCCAAAAAAATACTGTACTTATGTTGACAAAAAAAATAGGGATTTAGGTGGAGGATGAACTTTACATAAAAACCATGGATTACAATGACTAATCTATCAAAAACATATTAAACATGTTATATTTTGAAAAGTTCATGCATCGTTATCAACACAAAGAACATTTACAGAATAAAGGTTTATGCTTCCAATACTATAGATACTTAAAATTTACTCTAGATTAGTCATGCCAGTAATTCATCATTGACTTTTTTTTTTCAAGTGTTAGTTAGATAAACAAAAAGAATTACCTTACAACCCTCCCACAATTGTTTTTGCAAGCCTCCATGCAATGTCAGACAACAAAGCTCCCGTGATGGAAAGTTATTAAGCATTGGATTTGCAGGGTCACCTCTCCATTTAATATACCGAAGGTTCTTCATGTTTGCAACAATCGGAGGAAGATGTTCTGCACATACTAAATGACTGTGATCAATTTGTATTGCTTCGATCTTGTCAAGTTCCTGTGATAGAGGAACAGAATGATGTCAGAAGTTGCCTTAAGACTACTTCTTTGTACATATATATCATACGAAGTTAGCTTAGCCATTACCGTCCTTGCATCAATAGCACATATTTTTGCAATATTTTTTCCCCACACCCTACTATGTTTTTCAGGATTCTTAGGGTGTTCCGCTCTAACAATGTAGTGTCCCATTTCTTGCACTAGATCATGCATGTCAAACACTCCATCCGAAATGGTTATGAGAGCCTTTTGTATCAAAACCTTTACTCCTATAACAGGGTGAAAACCGCAAGCATCAAGTATCTCCATTGCATCATCTTTCTCCCACGACCTAAAAAAACATGCAATATCAAGGAACAAGTCTTTCTCAACCTTTGTAAGTCCATCAAAGCTAATTTTTAGCTTTCCGACAATGTCATCATTCGGAATCTCTTTCAGTCTAGCTAAAGCACTCATCCACTCATCAATTTCTTTGTCACATAGAAAAGGACCGAGAACTGCAAGTGCTAACCGGAGCCCATCAGCATAAGAAACCACTTCTTTTGAAAGACGCTCATAGTCTTCCTTTGGTCTGTAATCTTGCGGTGAAAGCTTGCGAAAGAGCGTAATAGCCTCATCATCGTTTAACAAGCTAATATTGTGCAGCACATCTACTCTGTGTGCATTTAATAAATGCACATCTCTAGTAGTGATTATTATTCGGCTTCCTTTACCAAACCAATCATGTGACCCAGCTAATGCTTTTAGTTGGTCAAGCTGATCCACATCATCGAGAACAATCAACACCTTTCTATGGCACAACCTATCCGCTATTATGCGTCTTCCTTCCTCAATTCTCCCTATTACTGGCACATGCGTTTGCTTTAAAACACCAGAAAGGATTTTTTCTTGCAATTTCTCCAAACCATACTTGCTTGATTCCTCCCGGATATTTTTAACGAAGCAAGAACCATCAAACTTGTTGATGATTTCATCAAAAACACAAGACGCAAGTGTAGTCTTACCACCACCCCCAACCCCCCATATCCCAATCATGCGCACATCTCCTGACAATATTTGCAACTTTAATTTCAAACCTTGCACGCGAGCCGCTATTCCGATCAGGTTCTCATTTGAACTTGAAGTTACTAGTTGCAACCTCTGTGAAATTGCATCAACAATTTCTTTGACAGCCTTTGATTCATGCCTGAACATCGGATATATAAGGATAATTAACACATGTGATCGTTAATAAAGGTGGTAATCTGTTGCATGCCCTATGAAAAAAAAGATCCCAATCGTCCTTTATATTTCAGATTCAAAGTAGAAGCTGTAAATTTGTTATGACAAGTAGTGTGTAGCAATTTTCTTGGGAGACATCAAATAACTTAAAATAGCAAAAAGTCAAGCAAGATGGATTTGTTGTTGTAGCTTCAAGCAGGGGCTTTAAGTACGGAATTAGAACTATAACTAAATTTGAGCTTATCCCAATCCTAGGACTAAAGATATCTTTTAACTTGCCAAACTGATGAATTGATCTAGTGTGTCAAAGCCTCTTTTATCAAGGTCATCAAGATCATCATGAGTAGTTAAGTTTTTTGTATGAAAAGCTTATAATTTACAAATAAGTATGTGTTGTAGAGCAAACATATCTTAAGCAGTAAAAGTTCATACACAGAGAAAAAAGCTACCCGTTGGCAATCTTCTTGGGTTCCCATCCAGAAATGTTACTTGCATCCACTAGTGCTTTTTTCCAAGAATCAATCTTGGTCATATTCTCCAACTCACGTTTTGCAAAGGCTTCTTGGTATTTTCGGTTCTGTTCACGCGGTGTAGAGAGCCATCCCCAAAGGTCCTCCACAACTGCTTGTCCCCAAGATTTAGCTTTCTTCTTGTTCTCCAATTCGTGCTTAGCAAATGCTTCTCCATATTTTCGTTTTTGTTTTCGTACTTCAGAGGGATCCACACCATAGAATATGGGCATAACGATTTGGCCTTTTGTATCTTTACATTTCATAATACATGCAAGTTCATCTAAGCACCATGAAGAATCTGCATAGTTTTCAGAGAATATAACAACAGCAATCTGAGATTCTTCTATAGCCTTCATAAGGGATGGCCCAATAGCTTCGCCCCGAGGAAGTGTTTCGTCATCATTGTAAGTGTAGATCCCCCATTTTTCAAGAGCTGAGTAGAGATGATCCACAAAAGTCTTGCGGGTATCTTCTCCTCTAAAGCTAAGAAAGACATGGTACTTCCACGATTGAGATGGAATGGCCGGAACAGAAGGAGAAGATGATGAAGATGCCATTGATGTATTGATTTGTTGAGATAAAATATATGTGGTTTGAGAACCTCAATAATAAGAACTTTATACAGAGAGATGTGAGTTTCCAATAAAACCTGTTATCATGTTGGAAAACCATGTCAGAACTCATATCTACAGTAACATGCTACCATGTAGAAAATCTCATAACTAGTCCTTACATTTTGTTTTTCATTTTTTGGTCATAAAAACAACTTTGAAAGTATAATATAATTCACAATTCTAAAGATAGGCATGAATTGACTTAGATAATGTGAGTTAGTTTTTCCACAATCACATACAAACTAATGTTTTACTCTATGTTATGTGGGAAATCAGGCCCTTGTACTCACTTCATTGCAGCAACAAACAACAGGATATAGTAGCACTTTTGTTGCATAAAAAAAAAAGAAGAAGCAAAGAAGTTTTGTGGGACAATTTTCTATGTTATTCCATTCTTCAAATCAATCGATTACAAGGATACTTAAATAACATACTTTCAACTACTTACCCTAAAATGGTTGCACCTACTGCCCACTAAATGTCTAGAGCCAATGTGGCTATTTACTTACTCAAACTCCTAACAGAAGACTAAATTACCCATGAATAAAACATGTGGCTTTGACCTAGTTTGGATTAACACCAACATTCTCCCCCTTAATCCAAATTGTTCCTGCCAAACTTCTTTCTTTCTGTAGGTATCTCTTTCTCAAGCAAACCACCGGTCTCGTTTACCTCCTTCAGTCTTCGGTCTTCTCCTATTGAAATTTCAGTCTTGATAACCCGCCGGTCATGGTTGTCAAGTAGAAAGTAGCAGGCAAGACAATGATAGCAAGTAGAAATTCTCGGGTTTGTAGCAAGTAGCAAACAAGAAACAAAATGCAAGAAGCAACAATGAGATAGCAAGAAGCATGAAGATCGAAAGAGGCAAGAACAACATCAAGAAATGATTTTTTGGGAAGTCAAAGTAGCCGAAAAAGGTTGTTTGGCATGAACCGTGGTGTTCTTCATTACGGGTTCAAATTTGGAATGATGTTGGTGGTGGCAGAAGGTAAGTAAATGGCACAGGATCTGGGACACTCCTATAATTGTGTTACAATTAAAAAAAGGTACTCTTTGTTTCTTATTTTGCTAAACAGTCCAGGTCTATTTGTATTTGTGATAAACTTACAACTATTGGTCAACCGGTTTTCGACATGGACAAGAGTCATTGGTTCTTGTGTGGCTTAGGGCCGACTTTTGAAACCTTTTCTACAGCCCACCAAGCTATCCATCCAATACATCCTTTTCGTGATCTTGTTGCTCAAGCAAAAGATCACGATTTGTTTGTTTCATCACTACATAGTTCTGCTCCCTGTCTTGTTTCCTTCATTGCTCATCATTCTCAACAGTCTTCTCGTGGACGGGGTAGGTCTGGATGATCAAGTTATCGGGGAAACTTTCCCGTTAGGGATGTGGTCGAAGATCACCTCATTGCCAATTATGTTGCCATGATGGTCGTTATGCCACCTCCTACCCAGACTTGGGAAGTAATGCCCAAAAATCTTCCTACTCGGCTGCAAATCTAGCACAAGCATATAATTCCAATTGTAAATTAAATGAATCCACTCTGGATTGGTACGTGGATTCTGGTGCAACAACCCATTTCGCTCCATCCTCATCTACTCTTGATTCATCTGTTCCTTATCATGGCAAGGAGAGGGTTTCTTTTGGAAATGGTAATGGGCTCCCCATCTCTCGTATTGGTACATTATTTGTTCACCCGAATTTGAAATTACAGGATGTTCTCATGGTTCCAAATATCAAAAAGAAACTACTTTTAGCAAGCAATATGACAAATGATTACCAGGTTGACTTCTTATAATCTCAGTTTTATTTTGTTATCCAGGATTCGGTCAACAAAACAATCCTAGGAACAAGAACGCATAAGGATGCACTTTATGTCTTAAACCCAGTTGCTCAAGCTCTAGCTACATCAGTTATTTCTCCTACTAACCATTCATTTGAACTATGACATAAACAACTTGGTCATGTTGCCTTTGATTTTATTTCTATTCTAAACAAACATGAATATTTTCATCTTACTTCTATTTTACCAAGTCTAAACCTTTTTATTCTTGTGAACTTTCAAAGCAACATCACTTGCCTTTTCAATTAAATGGTATAAGATCACTGCATGTTCTTGATATGGTTCATTATGATTTATGGGGACCCACACCCGTTACTTCCGTTGATGGATATCAGTATTATGTCTTGTTTGTTGATGACTATTCGAGATTTTCTTGCGAACTGATCTTTCAAAGTGACAGGGCACCGAGTTTTTAAATAATCGAGTTTGACAATTATTTATTGATAATGGTACTCATCATCAAATTTCGTGTCCATATACTCCACAACAAAATGGACGTGTAGAACGAAAGCACCGACATGTAACTGAAACAGGTCTTGCTATGTTCTTTGGTGCAAGTACACCCACAACTTTTTGGATACATGCCTTCTTTTACACAACTTATGTTATTCATCATCTCCCAAAAAATTTGTTACAAAACAAATCTCCATTTGAAGTTCTTTTTAATTCATTGTCAAATGGCAACAATTTTAAAGCCTTTGGATGTCGGGTGTTTCCTTATTTATGAATCTATGCGGTGCACAAAATCGCACCACACAACATTGAATGTGTTTTTATTGGCTATTGCACACAGTATAAAGGATACGAATGCTTAGATCCCAACACTTCTCGTTCTTCATAACTCGATATGCAAATTTCAATGAGACCTCATTTCCGTTTCCAAGCATGACTCACACTGATCTTCTCACTTTATTTTTAAGCTCCTATTTAGATAAATTACCTCCTCCTCCATATGACAATACATAACCTATGCCCACAAGTGTAACACCATCCATCTCACCTCAACCTCCCATGCCATGCGCCTGTTGTTTGCCTGATATTCCTTCGCTAGCGACACCTCCTATAGTTGCATCTACTACACATCGCTTTTTATTTTTTATCGTGGATCATGTCTTCCATATTTGCTTGTGTACATTAATGACATCATCCGAACTAGAAATCATGAGCCATCCATTGCTCGTTTCATCACTTTTTTAAAAAACTGAATTATATATTAAAGATTTAGGCAAATTAAATTAATTCCTTGGTCTTGAAGCTTCTTATACTTCACATGGCTTGTTTCTCAGCCAAAGTAAGTATGCTCATGATATTCTAAGTCAGGCCGGTCATCTTGATTCAAAACCTGTTGGGACACCTCTTGCCACTAACGATGTCTTTACCACCAGTGGCAATCCCTTTCATGATTCTACCTTATACCGATCTTTTGTTGGAGCTCTTCAATATTTGACTATAACAAGGCCATATATATATCCTACGTTGTTATCAAGCAACTCAATTTCTCCATTCTCCAACAGATCAACACTTCACATTGGTAAAAAGGATTATGAGATACGTCAAAGGTAATCTTACTCATGGTCTCAAATTTTCGTGTCCTATGAAATCCATGCTCATTCTACTTAGATGCTGATTGTGCCCAATGTATTGAAATTTAACGTTCCACCTAGGTTACTTGATCTTTTTTGGTGGTAATCTAGTGTCTTGGAGTGCAAAAAAGAGCCAACAGTTTCCCGATCTAGTTGTGAATCAGAATACCGGGCAATGGTCAACACCGCAGCATAACTAATATGGATTTCTCATTTATTGCGTGACTTAAATGCATTACCGTCTGAATGTCCCACTTTACTGTGTGATAATTTAAGTGTCCTTTTCCTTAGCCAAAATCTTGTAGCACATCGACGAGCTAAGCATATTGATATTGATCACCATTTTGTTTGTGAACTCATGTTGTCCGGTAAATTGCACACAAAGTTTGTTCCTACCAAGTTTTTGGTGGCCGACATTTTCATGAAACCTTTACCAAGGCCGCTCTTTGAGAAGTTCGGTGACCGGTTACGACTTCCTCCACCACTAGTGTGCTTGAGGGAGCGTATTGGAGATAAATAACATCCATAATTAGTTTTATTTGATTAAAAAAATTAGTTATATTTTACTTTGTATAACTACTATAATTGTGTTGTAATCTTGTATATATACTCCTAATAATTATCAATAATATTACAGTGAAAATCGATCCAACTCTAATAAAAAATAATAATACTTCCCATAGGGTTTGTTTGCTATGATGGATGGAATTTCGAAGGAATAGAATCAACGGAGTAAAAGAATAAGTCATTATATTTCATTATTATGTTAGGTTGGCTCCAAAAAATGGAAAGAGTTATTCAAACATGTTTTTTCTTATCTATCAAAAAAAATTCTAAATAAAATCAAATTAAACAATTAAAATATGATATTTTATTTGATTAACTAAAAGTATATTGTTAGATAAAAGTTTCTAATATAACATGTTATCATGTTGGAAAACCATGTCGGAACTCATAACTACAGTAGCAGGTAAAAAAATCTCATAATTAGTCCTTACATTTTCTTTTTCATTTTTTGGTCATAAAAAACAACTTTGAAATCATAATATAATTCACAATTCTAAAGATAGGCATGAATTGACTTAGATAATGTGAGTTAGTTTTTCCACGATCACATACAAACTAATGTTTTACTCTCTCAAAAGCAAGCAGCTGGTTACTTGGTTGACTTCTTATTTTCTCGATCTTATTTTGTTATCAAGGATTTAGTCAACAAAACAATCCTAGAAATTGGAACGCATAAGGATAGTCTTTATGTTATAACCCAGTTGCTCAAGCTCTGGATGCATTAGTTATTTCTCCTACTAAAGCTTCATTGAAACTATAGCATAAGCGACTTGGTCATGTTGCCTTTGATTTTATTTCTCTTCTAAACAAACATAGATATTTGCATCTTACTTTTATTTTACCAAGTCTAAACCTTTCTTCTTTTGTGAACTTTCAAAACAACATCACTTGCCTTTTCAATTGAATGATAAAAGATCATTGCATGTTCTTGATATGGTTCATTGTGATTTATGGGGACTCACTCCCGTTACTTTCATTGATGGATATCGTTATTATACCTTGTTTGTTGATGACTATTCAAGATTTTCTTGGTTTTATCCT